ATGGTGACCAAATACCACGTCATCTATAGGCACGTGGGGAAATCACCAACGACTATGAGTCTTGAGCCCAAAGCTATTGGGCCACAAAAAAAGCGCTGGACTGGGCCTTTCCCAAAAGTGAGGTACGTATTAGTCCAGTCCAAAATAGATACCTTGCATCCACAAGACACGAGTGTTCAAGATAATTAGATTTTGAATGGTTTAGAAGATATAAAAATCTCCAGTAAAGATAAAATTAACAAAAATTGTGAGGGGGGATTTAGATTTTGTTGACATTCTTTTCTAAGAGGATTATTAAGAAGAAGCAATGTCAAATTCACTTCCTTTGCGAGATAGTTTCATTGTGGTGATAAATTCCAACTTGTGAAACTTCATTGTCTCTGTTATTCATGACATGCGAGTTTTAAGATTTGTTCCTATAAATGCCTAACAAACTATGAAGTTTTTGAGAGAATTTAGGCCAACATATGACTCAGAAAGCTGAGTTTGTTGATTTAAATGAAAATACTAATCATCCATTTCAATCGATAGCCACAAAAAAGAGGAATAACAAGAAGAAACATTCTAAGACGAGCAAGTAAACATATTCTTTCATTTTTTCTTGAGTGGTTTATATATATATAGTATTTAACCTTTGAATATTAAAATTTGTTATTTATAATAAAATTTTAAAATAAATTTATTTATTTTAAAATTGAATAGACAATATAGCGATATGTATTTGTTGAACTTATTTTAAATGAATGCAAATAAATATATTTATAAATTAACAATTTAAAAAAAAAATTATCTCAAAATTATTTTTGTAGTTAATTTGTACTACAACTATTATGATTTGTACAATAATAATAGTAACTTTTGATATATATACTTTTTGTGCTCAAATACTTTTTACTTGTCATTTTAAGCTCATCTATACATATATATTTTAAACTAAAGTTTGTTATTTTTTATGATATTATTTACGTTTCTACTGTGCCGTTATCAATTTATTACTCTCTTCTTTAATTTTATAAATTTATTTTCTTATATAATTAGTAAACAATAATTTATAAAGAATTTAATTAGATAATTAGAATGCACTGATAGTGTAAAAAATATTACACCATTTTTGAATGATAATCATCTGATTTTAAATTATATTTAACTTTTATTTTAAATATATCTAAAATAATAGTTATGAATGACTGTGATGAATTGATCGTGTAAAACTTTTCACACTGACTGCGTATAACAATTAATCTCATTTATAAACTAGGCTTAATTCATTTTTTAGTCCCATAACTTAATTTATTGTTTCAAAGAAAAGTTTGTGCTTGAAGACGATGATTGTTGGAACATAGCAAAAGGTGATAGTAATACGGTGGGAGAACTGACTTGGATGTTTTGCGTTTTATCGCAATTGTTGCGGATAGCAAGAGTCGCCACCGACTTTTCTTTTATCCAATAAAGGAAAGGGTGAAAAGAACAGGAAATACCTTTTGAGATTTTTTTCTTGAGTTCTAGGGGTAGGTTATGAAAAGGGAAGGTGTGAGCACTCTTTTCATCAGTAGTTATCTACGGGCTCTTAGTTGTTTGATCGCTTTAAAATGCTTTTGTGAATGTGTTTGTTTGAAAGTAATTTTGAAAAGTGCCTTCGTTTAGGCAAACTTTATAATGATTCTCGTCTCTATAAAAATGTATACAAGGTGTTGACTTTTGAAAATATTTCATGAAAGTGTTGGTGTGTTTAAAATATGTTTTGTTTTGAAATGTTTACGAGCAAGCAACTACGAGCGTTCTACCTACTCAAAAAGTCTGTTATTTTCCTCCTCCTTTAGATAGTGTTATCTTACTATTAGTTAGTAAGAAACCATATTATTGGATGTGAAGGAACAAATGTGGGTCATCGTATAGTCATAGAAGGCAACACTTTAGGATACCTTAGCAATTTATTGTAAGGGACTAAGATCGTCTATCGAAGGCAACTTTGAAGGGTCATTGAGGGACTACGATCTTGTAATCGAAGGTCTTTGCTAAAGTATCCTACGTTCGAGGGACATGACTGTTTTATCCGAGACAATAAGTGTGGGTTATCCTAGAGGTGTAAGTGTGCAAGGTGTTTTTGTTTTTCATGTATTTTATCTTGAATTATGGTTGTCTAAGGGTGATTTTAAGGTCTTGTCATACAAACCCTAATTACTAACAATAATATGGAAAGCGATAAATCGCGGAATTTAAAAGTACTACGCTATTACAATACTTTGGGGGATGGGGGATACAAATTTACAAATGGGGATGACAAGTAAAAATAAACCCTAATTACTATTACAAGACTTTGACAATTACATAATTTATAATGCAAAAATAGTAAAATGCACAAGAAAATGTAAAGTGAAACGAAATTGTTTTTTAAGGTTAGGCCATCTCCCAGCAACGCAAACTGTCTAATGTACCTTTAATGATCCAAAATTATAGTAAAAACTGTCAAAAATCAGTATTTCATATGCTTAGGTTGACACGGGCCGTGTCGCCAGACACAGGCACCCGTGTCAGCACCTGCCCACACCTCTCTGCATATTTTTTGTTCCAGCCAATTTGACACAGCCATGTTGTATGATACAGGCACCCGTGTTAGCCCATGTCCTATCTGCTTTACACGTTTCTGAATGACACGGGTCGTGTCGTGTGACACATGCACCCGTGTCAGCCCATGTTCTGCCTGTTTTGCCAAATTTCCAACCCAGCTGAATTGACAAGGGCCGTGTCGTGTGACACAGGCACCCGTGTCAGCCCCTGGCCTGTCTTTTTGCTAAGTTTTCTCTTTGATTTGTCCTGTTGTATCTTTTCGAAAGCAGAAGCAAATGATGTATGGATAAAGATATTACCGTTTGAGAAATTTTACCTCTTGAAGCAAAAACTTAGAACATGTATGGGTGTTTTTTGGTGCAAAATGGTGATTGATCGAGCTCTTTTGAACTTTCTTGAAGTTGTTTCAATCCTTACTTTGTGCTGAAAGTTGCTGAATCACTCCAACCAAGTCAAGTTGCAAAGTACTGTTTTTTTGAGTTTGGAAGATGATGATAATGGTGTTACATAAGTTGTTCTTGTGTTTGAACAACTTCTATATGATGTATGTGAAGTATTTAGATGATTTTTTTGGACAAAACTTGCAAGGTGTGAGAGGTTCAAAGATTTGGATTTCAAAGCTCAAAAATGGAGGTTTTGTGGACAATTCTGGTTTTTTGAGAGTATAAGGATTATGAGGGCTTGTTCATCTCTTCCTATCTTGCCAATGATCTCTCTATTTATAGGCAAGAGGTTTTAAGAAAAGGGTTGATCAGATTTTCAAGATCACATGTTGTGGCTGGGTTGGATTGTGAATGAAGCAAGCTTAAAGGTCATAGTTCCGATGCTTTGTACTTTGCTTCATAAAGTTGTTGGATACTTTAAGCATGCTTGTCTGATTTTTTGTGTTGAGTATGTGTAGAAGGAACAAGTTAGAGGCTCAAGAAGAGTTGACTTTATGATTAAAGCTGCTTTGCAAGAATGGCAATGTTAACTTTGTGCCAAAAATGGAAAGATCACTTGGATAATGCTTGAATCAAATGGACCATAGCTCAAAAGTTTGTGTAAACATTAAATTATAGTGAGATTTGCAAGTTAGAAGGCCTGCAAAACAAGATTATACAGCATAGCGTGTAGATTGGATTATGTGTTCTTCACCAAAATGACTTGCAATTCAAGAATGGATGCCCAACTTCATGCCTTTGGATCTTCTAGCTCAAGTATGATAAATTCATGCTCTTGGATGTCTTGGAAAGCTTGAAACATTGTCTACAAATTTCATGTTGACCACTTTGGCTAAATCAAATTGGAACTTGATGAAAATTGGCCAAGAAGTTGGGACAAAAACCTGACCCAAAACCTGTTGAAAATTTCTCTAAGTGTTAGATAAAAATGTCATGACTTCATGGGCTTATATCTTCAAATCTAAGCATTTTTTTGGACATCAACCCTCTAATACAAAGTTGTAGAATTCATCAATATATACAACTTTCATGTTGAAAGTTTTCTTTGAATCATCTTACATCTTGGTGAAAAAATATCATGAAGTAATAAAATTATCAAGTGTAAAAACAACTTAGAAAATTTCTCTGTATTGTAAACTTTGACTTTTTGTTGACTTTCTTGAATTTCTTGATTTTTTTTATTCTTGATGATCAAGTTTGACATTTTTAAAGGTCTTGATAAATTTTAATCTGTGAAATTAAATGTTGACCAAAAAGTCAAAGTTTGACTTTTTGTGTATCAGTTGACTTTTTGTCAGTTGATCCAAATTTCAACTATCAAACCTTTGATCATGAGAAATGATTCGAGCCATGAAATTATGTCAACATGTTGCGTTTGAGTCCTTGAGATTATTTTTCAAGCCATTATGTCATGTATTGGGTCAAAAGTCGGTGATAAGTCATTCTCAGTCAAAACCCTAATTTGGAGGCTCAGTGCTTTGGAGGTGAGCTTGTCTGATCAAACTCTTGAGAACCCTTGAGCATTTGAGATCTTTGGTGAGAAATGTATTGATAAAAGAGATGAAAATTTTTGGAGTACAACAATGATCATTATCAACATTATCGTTGTCTCATTTCCAGGCCAAGGTACATGTATTCCAGGCCAAGGTACATGTATGAACTTAACATTTCCTCATTTTCATAGTTATCACCTTAATATTGTCTTCTACCCCTAAGTTTCGTTGTCTTCTACTCTGAAGTCTCATTTCTTTCTTATTTGTTGTGATTAGGTTATGAGTGATATGTTTGAGTGTGTTTGGTGAGTTTAACAGACTAGGTTACAAGGGGTTAAAGGAGATTTGACTTGTTGACCCCGATTTTTGGAGTTATTTTAAGATTCTGGGCGGGTTAAAAGACTTAGGGTACCCAAAATTAGATATCTTGTGGTTTTATGATGCAATGGATGATAATGAGTTAGTGTTGTTGCAAGACAAAGCATGAACAAACAGAATGAAAACGATTGCACTGATTAATGGGAATGTGCATCTATATGTAATGCATCTAGTGTTGAGGGAAAAACAAATACTACCTATTGAAAACAATGTAGGTCCCAATGGTGTAGAAGACGAGAAGTTGGAAGATGACATGTTGGATGAATTGGATAATGCTACTGTAATAGGAACTTTTGATGACTTGGGAACCATTGAAGATTTGAATAATCTAGGTAACAAATTCGATGAAGGAGGGCCCACTGGTGTAGAATATTAAGCTGCTATTGACCAAGAAGGCTCATTGGTAGGCACTTATATGGAAATTTCAGGAATAAGTTTCCTGGTGTCAAATTAAAGGAATTGATGTGGAAGGATGATAATGCAAGTTATTCAAATGCCTGGGAAAAAAATAATGTGTGAAATGAAAGAGGTTAATGAAGAAGCCTTTAAGCACCTTTGGAAGATCCCACCAAGGTTTTAGAGCAAATCTATGTTTAAAAATGGTCCAAAGTGTGACACTTTGGTGAACAACATGCCACGAGCCTTTAACTCTGTATTTGTAGCTGCAAGAGCCAAGTCCATTGTGACTATACTTGAAGATATTAGAGTGTACCTGATGCAAAGATGCGAGTCAAACAGACAAAAGATTGCCAAACATTCTAATGCCATTATGCCCAATATCATAAAGAAGTTGAAAAAAGAATCCCAAAGAACTAACAGTTTGATGGTTAGGTAATGTTTCATACTTGACTTATAGGTAATACAAAGAAGAAAATTGATATACCATTGGTCTGTAAATAAATTATGTATTTGTAACAGGCGTGTAGGTGAAGTAGACTATGAGGTTAGGCATACATCACTCATATAATTTTTTTTCTATTAATCTATCAAAGCATGAGTGTTCATGTAAAAGGTGGATGTTGACTGAGCTACCATCATGTCATGCCCTTTCATGTATGAAGGATCAACGTTTACAAGTAGATGATTTTGTTCCTGATTATTACAAAAAGGAGTGTTATGAGGCTTGCTATGCACCAGTGATACATCAAGCCAACTACCACCAGTTGCTGCTATACCAAGCCAACCACTACCAGTTGTTGCCTGAAGCCAACCACCACCAGTTGCTGCTACACCAAGCCAACCACCACCAGTTGTTGCCTCAAGCCAACCAACCAAAAAGAGAAAGAGACTTCAAAAGGGTCTAAAACCAGTTCTGAGCCAACCATACGATTTAAGTTTATCTTTGATTTGTAGTTTATGACTAAGGCTTATAATGCCACTTTTGGCCTATAACATATGATTATGACTTATTTTGTGTACTAAGGCTTATACTGATGTAACATATGACTATGACTTATACTGCCACTTTTATGTACTAAGGCTTATATTGTCTTTTTTATGTACTAAGGCGTATATTGATATAACATATGACTATGGTTTATAATGCATTTGTTCTTGGTTTATATTGCGACTTCTGTTATGGTTTAGTAACTATTATTATGATCAATTTAAGGTTTGCATTTGTTCTTGTATATTATGGGAAACAAACCACAATAAGATTTCAGCAAACACATTTCATTTTAAACCAACAAAAATAACATTTCAACTGATACATTTCAACCTCCTTGTTCACAAATACATCTCATTACACAGACAAATAATCAACCTAAAAACAAATTGTTACAAATACAACATTACACACTAAGCTTAGTATTTCAATGATTACAAACACTTTCAACCATCTCATAATGATGATGATCTCATTCTTCAATTTGTAAATTTTTTTCTTTTGCCTCTAGATCTTCAAATCCCTTTCATTAATAATGTCATCGTCGAAATATTTGAAGAAATTACATCCCTTATTCACATGATTTCTAAAATTACTGCAACCCCAAAATTTTCCCCAAAATTGACACTATTCATGTCACCCACGGTACGAATCACACATTCATCTTGGCAAAAACACCCCCTATTGTTTCTTCGAATAACCGACCCGAATGTTCCAATGAATGACAACTTAGACATTGGAGAGAATAATAAAACCCAATGGAGACAAGACGAAAAGAACAAGATGAATAGAAGGAACCAAACACAAAAATGAAGTTCTGAGTGATAATATGCACAAGAGAGATGGATGATAATACGCACAAAAACGAAAAACAAGATGAATAGAAGAAACAAGATGAAAGAAAAGATTAGGGGTGAGTGATAATACGCAGAGATGGATGGAGGCAACATGAAGACAACATTTACTCCTTTAAATAATATTTTATTTATTCATTTGACGATTAAGCACACAGTTGACATGCCACCCTGACGCTTATTTACGGTTTAACACCATATGTAACAAAATGGATCAAATATGTTAACAAAAGTAATATTACAAGACTAAATCAAAACGATTTTTTATTGAGCAACTGAACCACAACTCAAAATTAACTTACGGAACTTGGGACTAATTATACCTATAAACTACCTTATTATTCTTTTTTACATAATTAATTAAATAGGAAGATTTAAAATTTTGGCGCACAATAATAATTTCCCAAATATAAAAACGAATAATCAACTGTACTACTACTAACAAAGAAAGAAAGTTAGAAAGGCAGTAGTGTACTAGTGACTATAATTCTTGAAGAAAGAAGAAGAAGAAGAAACGTAAAACCTCTTTCTTTATTTCTATTGAGAAAGAAAACAGAAAGAGCAAAGAAGCACGGTTTCCACAAGACGCAGTGAATCCATGTCTTCCAAAAAATCTTCTTCCTCTGAAGATAATAATTCTACCTCACCAAAACGCCAAAAGGTTTTTTCCTCTTTCCTCATTCTTCCCGCGCTTTTCAATCCTAACGGTTCAGTTCTGGGGGATTTCGCGCCAGTTAAAGCATCGCTGTGTCGTCTTGTTTTTCAGGTTGACAATGGCGGTTCGCCGGAGAAACCGAGTATTCCAGAACGCCAAAAGGTTTTTTCTCTTTCTTCATTCTTTCCGATTTTTGAATAGTAAGTGTTCAATTTTGGCGCCAGTAAAAGCATTATTGTATCGTCTTGTTTTTCAGGTCGAAAATGGCGGTTCGCCGGAGAAAACGAGTATTCCAGAACGCCAAAAGGTTTTTCCTCTTTCTTCATTCTTTCCGGTTTTCAATCGTAACGGTTCAGTTTTGTGGAGTTTCGCGCCAGTAAAAATATCAGCTTATAATCTTGTTTTTCAGGTCGATAATGGTGGTTCGCCGGAGAAACTGAGTGTCCCTGAGCCGGTAGCTGATCCTGGACAATGCACCTCTCGCGATGCGGCTGATAGTGTGAAGACTCCAAGCAAGAGTGGCGCTACGCCGGAGGTTCCAGAGACTGTGCCGGGGGCTCCAAGATTAAGGCGGCCCACTGGAAGTGCACGTTAGTGCTAAGCGTTTCTTTCGAATTTCTTCTTATTTATTTCAAATTCGGTAATATTTCATGATTTTTTTTTGGTCATATGAAGTTATGAGGTTAAATCGGTGGAATTTATTGGAAGGTGAAGCTGATACATGGGGCCGTTTGTTGTCGCAGACTGGAGAGGTAAATTCATGTTCATTCAAATAACTATTTTAGTTGCCACTGTGATCAACACTGTTCACTCCACATGTATTGTAGCTTTGGACCAAATTTTACAATTGGTTCCAAATCATGTTCTTATCTGCAAGATTATTAGATTTATCTAGTTCAAAACATTTTAATTTGGAATCTTGATACTGCTGCAGAATCCAAATGTGGCTGTTTTCGGACCAAATTTTACAATTGGTTCCGGTAGAAGCTGCAACTTGATGTTGAAGGATCGGCCTTTATGTGAATGTTTTTGCGAGATCAGACGTGCCAAGGTACTTTTGAGGACTTGATAAAGTTTACCTTAGGGAGTTTGGAGCATATTGATATAATTGTATATTTAGGTTCTTAATTAAACACAAAAGTAAGCACATGCAACGTATTTCCATTATACTGGTCAATGTTTCACAAAGTCTCTAATCTTGTAATGCTATGGTGCTATGGAGTTATATGCTTTATTTATTTTTTCTCTTTCTTTTCTATATAGTTATTTAAGGTGAATACCTAGATATGTATGTGCAGTATGATTAGTGTTGTTTTTGAAATGACCAGTGCTCGGGAAGTGATGTAGCTGTGCTTGAAAGTACTGGTAGCAAAGGATCTGTGCTAGTAAATGGGTTACCTGTGAATAAGAATACCATAATTACGCTTTACTCGGGTGATGAGGTGGTTTTTGATGTGGTGGGAAATCATTTATATGTATCCTTTTAGTTTGTTCAGTTCCTGGTAGCTTCTTGAAGTGCAAATATATATTATTTCTTGATTGTCCAAACTCCAACTTCCCTTTTTGTCTTTTAATTTGTCTTTGCATGGGTGATTTTTCTTAATTTACTTTAAACCTAGATTTTCCAGCAACTGAATATTGTGAATGCGGAATGTCAAAGTGACATTGAGACAATACTGAAATTGCGTTCTCCTCCTAAATTCAAAACAGACTACACTGAAATCTTTAGTTATTCTAGTCTTCGTGATGTTGAAGAAGTTATGTGCGATGGGTTGAAATTAGCTCCATTTAGTAGGAGTAATAGAGCAGCTATTACTGGAGCCAGTGACAAAAATACACCAATGGATTGTGATCTGGAGGCTCGCACAGAGGCATTCAATGTAAATCAGGAGGTGAATGATTTCCTAGGGCCTTTCTTCAGGAGCTTAGCTCTAGTTGTAACTGAAACTGAACAAAGGTACCTGTAAACAGGTATTGAAAGAAATATATGAGTCATTACACATGGACAAGTGTTCAGCATTTGAAGAAGATCTTAGTGCTGCAATACTGGATGGAAAAGAAATAGACATCTCTTTTGACAACTTCCCATACTATTTAAGGTATATTTCTGTTCTCCACTATATCTACTGTGTTGTCATTACTCATGAACACAGTAAACTTTTCTTTTTAATATTTGAGTTTGTCCAATGTGTTTGAATTTATGCCTAAGGGCGCTGCTCTTATAAGTAGGATTTCCAAATTGAATACTAGCTCTCATTTTACATGTTGCTTTCTTTTCTAGAAACACCTAGTTTCAGTTAGGATTCGAAAATGGCACAATACGTGCCATTTCGTTTGAGCATTTGTTTATAAAATCTATTATTTATTTATGTGTCTTGCTTGAGCCTTCCATGTACTGTTCTCGGAGTCATTATTTCTTTGATGAATTGTTAATTTTAGCTCCTTTCTTTGTTAATTTCATGTATTCTTATTTATTTGCAGTGCAAACACAAAGAATGTATTGGTTACTGCATGCTTTATACACCTGAAGTATAAAGAACATCAAAAGTACACTCTAGATCTTACAACCATAAACCCTCGTATTTTGCTATTGGGACCAGCTGGTGTGTGGATGTTTCGTTTCTGTTTCCTTTCTTTTCACTCAAGTAATATCCCCCCCTTAAATTGCCAAATTCTGTTGTTTTGCAGGATCAGAAATATATCAGGAGACGTTGGTAAAAGCACTTGCAAAACACTTTGGAGCTAAGTTGCTCATATTTGATAGCCATTTGCTTTTGGGTGTAAGATAAAACTTCCTTTTTGGTTGATAATGGGATGAAGCCATGCATGTCACCTTTGTTGTTGTGCCTTTTAAGTATTTTTACTAAAAACTCTTCTAAGAATATTTAAATGGTGTTTGATGATAGGGTTTGCCTTCCAAGGAATCTGAGTTGCTCAAAGATGCATTGAACACTATAAAATCCTGCAGCAGCGCCAAACAAAGTTCTGTAATCACAGACATTGCTAGGACCATGGACCCATCAGCTAATGAAATAGAGACATCTACCTCTTCAGAGGCACCCACATCAAATGGCCTTGAGTCTCAACATAATTTGGATCGTCATAAAATACCATCAACCACTGTGACAGCCAAAAAATGCTTGTTCAGATTAGGCATGTGATCCTTTTTACCTATCTTCTTTCTTTTAGCTTCTTTGGCTTAACATAAAGCACATGCACACCATTTTAGATGCTGCGCTCCTGTGCCTATGTCCGACATGTAAATGTCATAACATACTGGTTAGACTTCTTCTAATGGAATTACGAGAAGTTATTATGGCAGTAATATTGTTTAATTTTTAATTTTAGGAATAAATAGGGAAACAATATGAGAAACTTATTATGAGAGTTTTTTGAATGGTTTTGGGAGGGAGAGACTAAGCTCTCTAATTCTTGGAGGGAGTGACCAATCTCTCAAATTCTTGGAGGGAGAGACCAAGCTCTCTATTTCTTTAGTTTTGTGTGATTTATATATATGTACTTATGTAGTAATTATGTGCATGTTGTAAGCACATTCTGCCATAAATAAAAGTCAGTCATTGTTATGAATTTGTACTTTGGTATCGGTTTCTATCACATACTCATTACGTGTACGATTCAAAATTTGTACTCCAAATTTCATGACTATATCAGATTATTTTATTACGTTTTCTCTCTGCTTGCTGTTTTAAGCTTACATTTTAAAATTCATTTAGTGAATTTGATTTCCAAAAAGATGCTGTTATAATTTATTGTTCTGGATATAAGATTCAATTTTATTTAGATCCAGCAGATTAGTTTAGCTTATTTTGTGTATATATGTTGTTTTTTACTATGCGGGCCGTTGGCTACAGCAACAACAGCTATTTAAACAAACTACTGATACCATGGTGGTTGAACCTGTTTTGAACTTTTAAGCAACCTTAATAAATAAAAAGTCTGGGTGCTTTGTCACATACCAACTTTTAAATTTCATTTTCAAAAATATGGCGTTTGTCAAGTTATTATAAATCTTGAAACTCTAGGCCATTATAAATTATACTTTACGAACCATTTTCCTTAATATTATATTTTAAAATTAAGAAAAATATTTCTAATTTATGTATGTGTTGTGTCACGTTCCAGTGTTAGTGTCAGCGAGTGTACACACTTCGTATGTTAATCTCAAACTGTTTGTATTTTCCATACATAATCATGCAGGTGATAGAGTGGAGTTTAGCTGCCCTTCTTCTGATGGCTTGTATGAAACATCTTCAAGGTACAAATTTGTCGAAAACTGTTCTGAATTTATTTATGTTTTTCTTATCAATAAACTTTGTTGCGTGTAATAATCTGCACCTGTTAGATGCACCAATGAGCATAATTTGTCGTGAACAAACATGCTGGAGCATCTTTATATCCATGATGTTGAAGTGTAAAAAATAAGAGTTTGGAGGGTTTGAATTATAACAATCTAAAAAACTGAGGGATTTGATTCACCCAATAATTTATCGGGAGGCAAAAACCTCACTTTAGCTAAAATATAGATATAGAAACCACACTTTAAAATTGGAAAAGTGCAATTAAGTCTTTCATTTAGATATTTAAATATCGTGTAATTTGACATTCTACAATATTCTTTACTTTCTAGTCCTGTCATATTCATCAAGCCACTTAATAGCATTTTTCGCATATAGGGGCCCACCTAATGGTAGTCGGGGGAAGATTGTCTTGCTATTTGATGATAATCCACACTCTAAAATTGGCGTGGAGTTTGATGAACTCATACATGACGGCGTTGATCTTGGAGGTGCATGTGAGGTTGGCCGAGGCTTTTTCTGCAATGGTAACATCTTACCTCTAATACATCATTTATATTTCTGGATATTATATATTTTTGTAACTTACTATTTTTCTATTTCCAGTCACCGATCTTCATTTGGAAAACAGTGGTGCGGCAGTACTGGACAAATTACTTATTGATTCATTGTTTGAGGTAACTTTTTATTCTGCTTGTGGTCTAAAAAAATTGGTTTCAATCTATCTGTTACATATTATACTTGTTTTTGTTTCAGGTTGTTTATAGAGAGAGTAGAAGTGCACCATTCATTTTGTTCATGAAAGATGCCGAGAAGTCAATAGTTGGAAAGGGATGTCCATTTTCATTTAGACATAAACTTGATACACTTCCAAACAATGTGGTGGTAATAGGTTCACACACTCTTACTGACAATGACAATAGCAAGGAGAAGGTAATAATTTCTTTTGGTTAAATTAATCTCCAGAGCCCTATGTTATATGGGTTTTCCAATTAGGTTTTATGTTTATAAAACTAGTAACTAGCATCCTATTTTTCAATTGTAAGCTATTCATCTTTTTAGAAAAGCATTATAAACTTTGCAACCGACAGTCCCTGGAAAATTTTGTCTGGATTTCATTTGGTTTATTTGCATGAAATATTCTTGAAAGAATGAATTAGTTAGTCTATGAGAATATGGGTTTTTAGATATTATGGTATATATATATATTATATTTGTGCCTTTAAAACATCCCTCCATTCCCTGTTTGAATTTGCGTTTAAGTGATTTACATCATTGATATTTAACTATTTTAGCTGCAGTCGCATCCCGCTGGTCTGCAGTCGCATCCCGCTGGTTTACTTTTTAAAACACTTGATGGCAGTAAGGCTGCATTTCTTGACTTGGCCAACTTGGTAATGACCACATCTCCTTCTCACTCTGTTTCTTGATCACTTTAAAAGAAAGAAATAGGAATTGCTAATATATGCTTGTATTATACATATCTTCAAACGTGCTACCTAACAATATTTCATTTAGGCTTTCTTAATTATACCAACACTGTCTTTTCAATCTTTCAGGGTAGTCCTGGACAATTGCATGACAAGGAAAGGGAAGTACCAAAGCTAAACGAAGCTTTAACTAATATTTTCCCTAATAAAATTAAAATTCACATGCCACAGGTATATTGAGTGGACTGTATGTCATTAGTTGTGTTGTGTTGTGTTATTATCCTTATATAATATTCATAATGTATTTCCTGTTATTATTAGGATGAGGTACTTCTAGCATCATGGAAGCAGCAACTGGATCGAGATGTAGAGGCTTTGAAAATAAAAGCAAATTTACATCAACTACACATTGTAAGAACCTTGTATTTGCTTGTATATTTAATTCATGCAGCAAAATGGAAATAATATTTTGCGACGAAAAAATGTTGAGATAGAGGCTATATGGCTCTTTCCTTTATATCCTATTTCAGTATGGTACTAAGCAAATTGAGTGCGATTTAGTTATGAACTGTTGGATACCAGTCAAAAAGTCAATACAAGTTATCCTTGGGATTTTATTTCTAAATGATACATGTGTATCACTTCTTTCTTATCCTTTGGATGTCTCTCTCATATCAGTTTTGTAAGAATGGTTGGGTAGGCGAGGGTGTTTTTTATTTTTATGAGCGGCTATACCTTGTTTCTCTCTCACTGCATGATTTACCATTCAAAGTTTTATTTCAATACTTTCATTTAAAAAAATCGCATTGAAGCTGACATTCTACTTGAGTCTTTTCATTTAGTAGTTTTTGATACAAGTTCTCTAATGGATTATTTTACAAATTAGTTGAAAGTCCAAAGCCCCTTGAAATCAGTTATTTATTTGATTGTTCTCAGTTGCAATTAGATTCTTAAATTACAATAATTGCGGCCTAACAAGCTTTATTTATAGGTTTTGAGCCATTTTGGAATTGAATGTGAAGGACTTGAGACCTTGTGCATTAAAGATCAGACACTTATGAATGAAAGTATGTTCTCCACTATTAAGTGCTGTAGAAAGTAGAAAGTCTTGGACTGGTTATATAGGAAAAGGAATTACAATGGTAATAATGGTAAATAAAAATAAAGAGAATGAACTAAAGTTAAAGGACATAAAATAAAATAAGAGAGGATCAAATCTGATTTCTCCAAATTCTTCTACATAGGATTTTCCACACAACTCTTGATCCTATATCATGCTTGCTACATTGCAGATGCGAAGAAGATCATTGGTTGGGCTCTAAGCCACCACCACATGCAGAATTTGGAAGCTAATCCAGATTCAAAGCTTATATTGTCGTGTGAGAAGTAATTACTAGCCTGCACTATGCTTGTCGACTTGTTTATAATAATATATGTCCTTAATTGAAGTTTAACAATGGTAATGCCATTATGTTATTCCCCAGCATCCATTATGGATACGGGATGTTGCAGTCTCTCCAAAATGAGTCAAAAGGCATGAAGAAGTCTCATAAGGTGATTGTTATGCTCTTTTGCTGCGTAGATGTTCACTCATGCTTTGTTCCTTATAAGTTATTCTGTTGGAAGAGTTTGACCAACTTCTTTCATGAACACTATACTCTAAATCATCCTGCTTGTTGTATTGTCTGAAAACAGGATATTGTAACAGAAAATAATTTTGAAAAGAGACTTTTGGCTGATGTTATTCCACCAAGCGATATCAATGTTACTTTTGATGATATTGGAGCTCTTGAAAATGTTAAGGATACGCTGAAGGAGTTGGTGATGCTTCCTTTGCAGAGGCCTGGGCTTTTTTGTAAAGGGCAATTAACCAAGGTTTTACTACCTTTAAATATTGAAATTTTTTGTTTTTGCTCTTTATGTCTGGTTTGTAAATTGTGAGATATATTCCTAAGATATTCCTCTTTTTGTTGCATGCTCTTTCACTAGTTAGTTTAGCTTAATTGATTTTTATGATGCTTTTAATCGGCTTTATTCTTATTTAGAGTCTCGCATTTACAAGCTTGTTTTGTTGGATTTAGTACGGCCCAACTCATATTTTAAGATGATATCACATATCATCTTTTAGATTCGTTGAGCCATGTGTTATTGTCGGGCCACTTGGGTCACGCTCAAAGTATCCAATTCTGGATGTGAGAAGGTGGGTTGAGAGTCTCACATTGAGTAGTGATTATAAGCGGTGGCCATACCTCATTTTACAAGCTGGGTTTGCGGGGTTAAATTAAATTCTAAGCAAAAACAAGTATTTGATGTCCGCACTCCGGCCCCACTTAACCTAATTGGCATCTGTAAGCTAAAAGCACCTCTTGTGGGCAACTGGTTTTAAGAATTGTTTTTTAGTCATTATTTGGGAGTACATTTACACAAGCTCATGAGATACATAGTCTTCTGCACCTTACTGTTTTCATGTAACTACCCAAACCTCCTTGGTAACTAACTAATTAGATTTCCTTAGAAGCAGTAAACTCAGTCTGTATAGATTGCTACACATTGTAATTACTCAGCAATTCTGTGGGATTTTGGATCGAACTCTAGTTGGTCGAAGTACTTGCTGTAGTCGAAGAAGGTTCTAGCATGTATTTGTCGAAGGATGCTTGTCGAATTAGGTTTTAGTGTTTAAACCCTAATTTGTTAAGTTAGCTTGTTTGTTAAGTTAGCTTGTATAATGGGCCTTGTGGAAAAAGCCCATTAGTTAGTATGTTAGGTTTTATTATAAATAGCATACTAGTCTCTCATCATTGCCATCACAGCAAATCCTAATTTAGGGTGAGAGGGTTATTTGTTATTCTTGTAAACTTGTAATCTTGTTTTCTAAGAGAAAGTAAAGAATAGCAGTTATAACCAATTCTTGTGTTCTTCTTCTTCCTTGTTCTTTATTCTTCCCTTATTCTATACTTTGTTATTGGCATTGAATTCACAACAAATTGGTGCGGTGAGCGTGGAGAAGATGCCTTCAACAAAATATGAGATTGAAAAGTTCACCGGAGTGAATGATTTCGGTCTATGGCGCTTGAAGATGAAAGCCCTACTGGTTCAGCAGGGTTGTTTGGAAGCGTTGAAGGGAGCGACGTCGATGGACGCTGCGTTAACAGAAAGAGAGAAGACGGCCATGATCGAGAAAGCACACAGCGCAATTTTGTTGAGCCTTGGTGATAAGGTTCTTCGACAGGTATCAAAGGAGACGACGGCATCAGGGTTATGGGTGAAACTTGAAAGTTTGTATATGACCAAATCTCTGGTAAATCGACTCTACCTGAAGCAAGCTTTGTATTCATTCAAGATGATTGAAGACAAAGTGTTGGCTGAGCAGTTGGATATGTTCAACAAGCTGATTCTTGATCTTGAAAATATTGATGTAAAGATTGATGATGAAGATCAAGCGCTGTTATTATTGTGCGCTTTGCCCAGATCACATGCTCACTTCAAAGAAACCCTCTTGTATGGAAGAGAGTCCCTGACCTTTGAAGAAGTTCAATCAGCTTTGTACTCTAAGGACTTGAACGAACGCAAGGAGCATAAACCTTCGACGGTTGGTGAAGGTTTGGCTGTTAAAGGAAAATTCGACAAGAGGAAAGGTAAAAATCAGTCGAAGTCTTATAGTGGTGACACATCTGGTATTAGATGCTATCACTGTAAGAAAGTAGGTCACACAAGAAAGGTGTGCCCTGAACGCCTGAAAGATCATGGAGGTAAGGATAATGGCAATGCAGCTATTGTCCAAGATGATTTCGAATCATCTGATGTTCTTGTGGTTTCAAGCAAAAACTCATCGAAGGAATGGATTATGGATTCTGGATGCACTTGGCACATGACTCCAAACAGAGACTTGTTCGAGGAATTATGTGATCAAGATGGTGGATCGGTATTGCTGGGAAACAACAAAGCTTGCAAGATTGCAGGCGTTGGATCTGTGAGATTCAAGCTCCATGATGAGTCAATAAGATTGTTGACTGAAGTCAGGTATGTACCTGATTTGAAGAGAAATTTGATTTCTCTTGGTGAATTCGACAAGAAAGGATATGTTTTTCAAGGAGAGAAAAGTATCCTGAGAGTCATGAAAGGGTCGAAGGAAGTCTTGAGAGGCGTGAAGAAACAAGGCTTGTATACCCTTGAGGCTGAAGTTGTAAGTGGTTCGACAAATGTTGCATCCACGAAACCTTTGTCGAAGACAGAAATTTGGCACATGAGATTGGGCCATGTCAGTGAAAGGGGTCTGGTCGAATTAGGGAAACAAAATCTGCTTGGTGGAGATAAAGTCGAAAAGCTGAAGTTTTGTGAACCCTGTGTACTTGGAAAATCCTGTAGAATGAAGTTCAACAAAGGCAAACAAAGAACACATGGATCCCTTGATTACATCCATGCTGATCTTTGGGGGCCTGCAAGGTGTCCATCACATTCAGGAGCAAAGTATTTTCTATCCATAGTAGATGACTATTCCAGAAAATTATGGGTATTCATCCAGAAGACTAAGGATGAAACTTTTGAGAATTTCAAAAGTTGGAAGACTCTTGTCGAAAATCAAACTGGCAGAAAGGTAAAAAGGTTGAGAACCGACAATGGCCTTGAGTTTTGCAATGAGGCGTTCGACAGTTTTTGTGTTGCCTCTGGTATTGCAAGGCACAGAACTACCGCAGGTACTCCACAACAAAATGGTTTGGCTGAAAGGTTTAATCGAACTATTTTGGAGAGAGTTAGATGCATGTTGACTAGTGCGGGATTAAAGAAGGTGTTTTGGGCTGAGGCTGTTTCGACAGCAGCATATCTGATAAACAGATGTCCTTCGACAGCGTTAGCTATGAAGACACCTGAAGAAGTTTGGTCGGGACATCCACCAGATCTCGACAAACTAAGAGTATTTGGCTGTGTAGCCTATGCTCACATTAGGCAAGACAAGGTCGAACCTAGAGCTCTGAAATGCATGTTTATGGGATACCCTGAAGGAGTAAAAGCTTATAGGCTATGGTGCCTAGAGCCAGGTCACAGGAGGTGTATCACCAGTCGAGATGTAGTTTTCAATGAAACGGAAATGGCTTTCAAGAAAACTGATGATGCTGACGAAGAGCTGGAACAGGTAGAGATTCCTGTTGAGGTGGAGCATGTTGATGCTGAAATGCGTATCCCAGATGAAGTCGAAGAAGAAACAGAATATTCTGATGATGTTGAGGAAACTGTTGATGACTACCTATTGTCGAGAGATAGGCAAAGAAGAGTCATAAAACCACCTCAGAGACTTGGATATGCAGATCTTGTAGCTTATGCCTTAATCTCTGCAAGTGAAGTTCTAGACGAAGAACCTAGAGATTATAAGGAAGCTATAAGGAGTCGAATGAAGACTGAATGGCTAAAGGCCATGCATGATGAGATGAAATCTCTTCATGATAATCACACTTGGGAACTGATCAAGAAACCTGTTGGGGCAAGGTTAGTCAGCTGTAAGTGGATTTTCAAAGTTAAGGAAGGAATTGAAGGAGTAATGTCGAAGAGGTACAAGGCAAGATTAGTCGCAAGGGGTTTCACTCAGAAAGAAGGTGTCGACTTCAATGATGTATTTTCCCCTGTTGTGAAGCACAGATCCATTCGAATGTTGCTTGCCATGGTGGCTCAGTTCGACCTTGAACTGGAACAAATGGATGTGAAGACTGCGTTCTTGTATGGTGACTTAGACGAAACAATCCTGATGAGGCAACCTGAAGGGTATGTCGAAAAGGGGAAAGAAGATTATGTGTGCAAACTGAAGAAATCTTTATATGGACTTAAACAATCTCCTCGACAGTGGAATAAGAGATTCGACAAGTTCATGGAACACATAGGTTTCATTAGAAGTCAGTTCGACCATTGTGTTTACTCCAGATTTCGACCTGAAAATTCATTTGTAATTTTGTTGCTTTATGTTGATGATATTCTGATAGCAAGCAACAATGTCGAAGATGTAATGAGGGTGAAGGCTGAACTCAATAAGGAGTTCGACATGAAGGATCTGGGAGCTGCATCTAGGATTCTTGGAATTGACATTCGAAGAGATAGAAAGCAGTCGAAATTATGCTTATCTCAAGAGGCATACCTACGAAAGATTCTTGACAAGTTTGGTATGTCGAATTCAAAGCCTGTTGTGACTCCAACAAACCCTCAATTCAAGCTGAGCATTGATCAATGTCCCAGTACTGATGTCGAAAGAACCTATATGAACAGCATCCCATATGCTAATATAGTTGGTTCTTTGATGTATGCTATGGTCTGTACTAGACCCGACATAGCATATGCAGTAAGTCTTGTAAGCAGGTACATGGCGAATCCTGGAAAGGCTCACTGGCAAGCGTTAAAGTGGATTCTAAGGTACATAAATGGGTCTCTGAACAGAGTCTTAATTTATGGTGGAGCCTTGGGTGAAGATAGTAAAGCAGCAGTCGAAGGCTATGTTGACTCTGATTATGCAGGCTGTATGGACTCCAGAAAATCTATTTCTGGATATGTTTTCACTATGTTTGGTACAGCAATTAGTTGGAAAGCAACTCTTCAGAAGGTTGTTGCCTTATCAACTACTGAAGCAGAATATATTGCCCTAACTGAAGCTGTGAAAGAAGCATTGTGGCTTGAAGGTTTTGCAAAGGAACTGAAACTTCAAGGTCAAGGTATCACTGTTAAATGTGATAGTCAAAGTGCAATACACCTGTCGAAGAACTCAGCCTATCATGAGCGAACCAAGCACATAGATGTGAGGCTGCATTTCGTCAGAGGGGTAATCGAGCGTGGAGAAGTCCAAGTGCTGAAGGTCTCGACAGAACACAATGCCGCTGATATGATCACCAAAACATTGCCAAGTTGCAAGTTTTTCCACTGTATGCAGTTGATAAAGCTGCATGAAGAAAGCTAGTTAGTGTCTCTTGATGCTGTAGAGTTAGGTCCAAGGTGGAGATTTGTGGGATTTTGGATCGAACTCTAGTTGGTCGAAGTACTTGCTGTAGTCGAAGAAGGTTCTAGCATGTATTTGTCGAAGGATGCTTGTCGAATTAGGTTTTAGTGTTTAAACCCTAATTTGTTAAGTTAGCTTGTTTGTTAAGTTAGCTTGTATAATGGGCCTTGTGGAAAAAGCCCATTAGTTAGTATGTTAGGTTTTATTATAAATAGCATACTAGTCTCTCATCATTGCCATCACAGCAAATCCTAATTTAGGGTGAGAGGGTTATTTGTTATTCTTGTAAACTTGTAATCTTGTTTTCTAAGAGAAAGTAAAGAATAGCAGTTATAACCAATTCTTGTGTTCTTCTTCTTCCTTGTTCTTTATTCTTCCCTTATTCTATACTTTGTTATTGGCATTGAATTCACAACAAATTCAATTTAAGCTCAATTCAGAAAACAGATTTTTCTGATTCAGTTTAAGCTCAATTTAGATTTTAGATTAAGTCATTTCTTAAAAAATTTGATGTAAATTTTTTTCGGTGATAACTGGCTGTGAACTTATTATCTGCTCACGTTTTGAACAACCTTTTGTGTAGCCATGCAAGGGTATCCTATTATTTGGCCCCCCTGGAACAGGCAAAACAATGCTTGCAAAGGCAATTGCAACTGAAGCTGGTGCAAATTTCATCAACCTTTCTATGTCAAAGATTATGTCTAAGGTCCAATTTGTGTCTCACTGGGTGTATTTTGATCCAACCTCTGTCAATTTTTTCTGCGTGTCAACTTTTGTTCTTGCTCCTTGCTTCAGTGGTTTGGTGAGGGTGAGAAGTACGTGAAAGCTGTTTTCTCTCTGGCGAGTAAAGCTGCTCCTAGTGTTATATTTATTGATGAAGTAAGCCTTTTTGAGCGAAGTTGTATTGGTTTGTATTGATTCATCAGACATAACTAGCTTTGTTTCAGGCTGATAGCATGTTGGGTCGAAGGGAAAATCCAAGGGAGCATGAGGCCATGCGGAAAATGAAAAATGAATTCATGGTTAATTGGGATGGTTTACGTACAAAGGATTCTGAACGAGTTCTTGTGCTTGCTGCCACTAACAGGCCTTTTGACCTAGACGAGGCTGTCATTAGGAGGCTACCTCGAAGGTGGATACCATACTCTTCTTTGATTCCCCTTTCTATTGTTTTGGGATATGGGACATGTTAAAGTTTTTGTAATATCTGATGCAGATTGATGATAAATTTGCCAGATGCTCCAAATAGAGCAAAAATATTGAAAGTTATACTTACGAAAGAGGAATTGTCTCCAGATGTTGATCTGGATGCAGTAGCAAGCATGACTGATGGATATTCCGGAAGTGATCTTAAGGTTGCTCGTGTTCTTAAACATGTTACCTCCTAGACTTTTAAACATTAGTGATCTTTATCGTGTTCTACTCTCTTATAATGCAGAATTTGTGCGCAACTGCTGCACATTGTCCAATTAAAGAGATATTGGAAAAGGAAAAAAAGGTATGACCTTAGTTGAGACAACGTAACACAATAGAGTTGGGGAATTATCTATTTATTGATGGTAATACTTGGAGATCTCTTTGAACTAATTTCAGATTAAGTTATTAGTAATATTTACAATTCTAATAAAAAGGGAAGCTATAGTATCCTTATGAAAAATATGAATTTATTATACTCAACGTGAGTTAATTTTGCTACTTGGAAGGTAAAAGGAGAATACTTAGAATGAGTTTGATGCGTTACAGGAACGTGCTAGTGCTCTAGAAGAAGGTCGACCTGCTCCTGCATTATATAACAGTGGGGACATCCGATCTTTAAACATGGGAGACTTTAAACATGCTCTTCAACAGGTACAAGTGAAACCTCCTTTTAAATGTGTGTCAACCCGCGTCATTTCACGCTTCTTCTAAATATATTTTTTTAAAGTAATACATATATATATATATATATATATATATAAAATAACTTTGTTCATTTATTGATTGATGCAGGTGTGTGCCAGTGTTTCTTCTGAGTCAGTAAATATGACCGAGCTTGTACAGTGGAATGAACTATACGGTGAAGGTGGTTCAAGAGTAAAGAAAACACCCAGCTATTTCATGTAGAGCTTTCTCTTTGGTTATTGTGTTGCCAATTTTTAGGGCTTCTAGGTCTTGCTGTTGTGCTACTTAGTTTGTAAAATGAATAAAGGTTTTCTTTTCCTACATATTGCAAAGGGGAAAACCTTCCAGAATTTTGGCGGGCTCTGTTTGTTTTGTTCCTCATCTCAAAAGAGCGTTGTGCATATATTGCAGCTCCTGTAGAGTCTTATGTTTTACACCAAAGTTGAGTTTTTAATAGACAATATAAGAAGAAATGTCTTGAATTGATGTTGCATTTGAATATGGTACAAAATCTTAAACTAAGACTATTCAATAGTTAATAATCTTTATTCAATTCTAAGAGCCCCTAAACAATATGAATTAAGTTGCAGGTTAAGATGATGACACTGTTATTTATACCGACTCAATTGCTTATCCTCTTGTGTTGATCCAATATGTTAGACGATGAGACGTATCTATAATGGGGTTGAATAGATTCTTTATTTAAAAAATTGCGCTTTTAAAATTGTTTTTAAAATGGTGCAAAAACTTTCCGAATTAAAATCGTCTAAACGATCCGTTATTGAAAAGATCGGTTATGCGAAACCGAATGGAGTTCTTATGATGAGAAATGAATCAATACGATTCTTTACTAATCAATTACTTAAACAATATCAATGAGTACTTACTACTTCCAATGAATTGTTTAAGATAAAACTAGACAATATCACTGATTTGTGTGTTAGTCAATTTATCAAACACTTGATGTGCAAAATCACAACAAGTTTAATTTTACTTAATTGTAGTGATAATTTTTCCTTGATAACAATCAAAGTGATTGCTATGGTTATTGTAAACTAAGTTTGACTAACTACAATTACGGTACAATAAATTGAACAATCGATATCACACAAATTATGACAAACAAAAATAAAAGGATAGGGAAAGAGAAACAACACACGATTTATTAAGGCAGTTCTCCTTGTTGTCCTCGCGCAGGGCACGTATGTCCCCAATTTTAAAATCTAGAATTGAGATATATGATATTAAGTTGCAAAGTGTTATAAGAGAAGCAATAGTCTTCACTACACACAAACCAATTGTTGAAGATGAAACTATATCCTTCTCTCTCCTTGGTTTAAACCAAACCAAGTATGTCAAACTCTTTGAACAAACCTCTGATTATCGCTACTTGATTGCACAAACTCTTTGTTCTACAAATCTTTCACTCGACTGATTTCGATCTCAAGACGTTTAACCCCAAATCTTTCTTCACAATCCTCCAGTTACCGCTACTTGATTGAGCAAATCCATCGTTTCTCAACCCTTTCACCCGGCTGAATTCAATGAAGCAAAGACTTGTGCAAAAACCTCCGCACCAACACGGATTTTAGAGGACAAAATCCTAACGGTTTTATTCAAGAAAAAATTCACTCAATTCTCAATCCAAATCTGAATTCCAATCTTCAATTTGAACGTTATCACCACATCTCTGCACTTTAATCAACAAAAATTGTTATGTGTAATTGTTGATGAATGCAAGGAGAGGATGAAAATGATGAGAAGTTATGTGTATATCTTTCACTTTTTCTTGTTATTCCAAATGATGAACATAGACCAATATAAATGTGTTTACAATCAGCATGACAAAAAACGAAGCAGAAAAACAGATACAATTAGCGATGCGTCGACTAATACAGCCTTGGGGGTCATCTGAGTGAACCCGAGCTTGATGAGATGATTCAAAAATAAGCGATGCATCGACACAACCTGAAAGAAATTCACTCCCAGTATGAGTCGAATAGAAGAGTCGACATGAGCAGTCCCAAGCCAGGTGCAAAGTCCTCGATCAATCCATGAGTCGACCCACCAACTGTGTGAGTCGACGCAAATAGTTGAAGTGGCCAAAAATACTTTCTTTCAAGGAGTTTCAAGCCATATATCCCCAAACGCAAATTTACCAAGGGACCAACCAATATTAGGAGCACAAATGTAAGATACGAAGAATGTTTTGACATCATTAAAACAAGAGTAGAGGTACCTTGTCCTCACATACCCCCCATTTTTATGATGGCAAAATCCAAGTCAATAACTCAGCCCAATTTTACCACATATCCCTCCCCTGAATTTGTGCCTTCCTTACAACCACATACTCAACATAATCTGCTTAATACATATTCTTCTCCTCCTTTGACAATATCAAAAAGATAAAAGTACAAGGTCAAGTGTAATAGAAACATATTCAATTATATGATCATCATATACTTTGCAACTAACAAACACCAACAAACATTCACATAAAATGAAGCTAGTGAAAAACATATAATAGTGGACATAATTAATCAAACACATTAAGTTCATTACACACCAAATGAGTTCAACAATAAAACAACGAACACAAAGTAAGTTCTTAGGAAAATAAAATAACCAATAGCATAAGCAAGACATGTAAACAATGAAAGTCACAAAATACACTACAAAGCACCATATCAAGATCAGAAAATTCTTCAGTATGCGTCGACAACTGCAACTCATGAATCGACTCATTCAGTCTAAATTTCAATTTTCAAAATTTTCATGTTATTTAATGCCATTCATACAATAAATAGAAAACCTACACATACATCAATTATGTCAAGGATGAAAAAAGATACATATTCTAAAGCAAGTTTAACATTTACACATGATCAAGAGAGGTCGAATAGATAAGAATAATATTACCTCCATGGACGATTGAAGACGAATACCCTTAGTAACTCTTGCATTAGACATAGTAGATTATGAAGGAATCTACAATCATACAATAAAGAGCATGCAACTTAGTTAAGTTGCAACCTATCTGAGATATCGAGAACACCAAGTTCCCTACGGATGTGGAAGAAAGGTTCTGTCGCGAGTGGTTTTGTAAAAATATCGGAAAGTTGATTTTTGCTATCAACGTGCTCAAATACAACATCACCCTTTTCTACATGATCCCTAACGAAATGATGTCTAATCTCAATATGTTTTGTGCGTGAATGCAAAACCAGATTCTTGGTTAGGTTAATGGAACTTGTATTGTCACAAAAAATAGGAATACGTTCAAGTTTAACATTGAAGTCGAGCAATTGTTGTTTGAGCCATAAAATTGGGCACAATAATTATCGGTTGTAACGTATTCTTCCTCGGCAGTTGACAAAGCAACATAAACTTGCTTTTTGCTATGCCAACTTACTAAGGAGTTTGAAAAGAAATGACAAGTCCCACTAGTGCTCTTCCTATCCTATTTGAAACCGGAAAAGTCAGAGTCAGAATAGCCAACCATAGAACAATCACTACCCTTGAAGAACCAAAGTCCATACTTTGACGTACCACAAAGGTACCCAAGTATGCACTTTACTACTTTTAAATGTGATTCCCAGAGACATGATTGAAACCTAGCACACATGAAAATACTAAACATAATATCCGTACGGGACGCGGTAAAATAGATAAGGAAACCAATCATGCCTCTATACCTTTTTATATCGACAGGCTTACCATTTTGATCTTGGTCCAAATTCACCGCCATAGGCATTAGAGTGTCAATTACTTTGGAGTTTTCCATTTCGAAGCGCTTGAGTAGATCATTGCAATACTTCATTTGGATTACAAAAGTCCCTTCATTAAGTTTCTTGATTTGAAGACCGAGGAAGTAGTTTAACTCCCCCATCACACTCATTTCAAATTCTCCCTGCATTAGCTTAGAGAACTACTTAACCAAAGACATTTTAGTAGATCCAAAGATAATGTCATCTACATAAACTTGAACTAAAATAGAGTGTTTCCCTTGACGCTTAATAAAGAGAGTTATATCAACCTTTCCTCTTGAGAATCCTTGATCTAGTAAAAATTTGCTAAGACGTTCGTACCAAGCCTTAGGGGCTTGTTTAAGACCGTATAAAGCACGCTTAAGTTTGTAAACATAGTTAGGAAACTCCAAATTTTCAATACCAGAGGTTCAAATACATATACCTCTTCATTAATGTAGCCATTAAGAAAAACACTCTTAACATCCATTTTAAATAACTTGAAATTTTGTGAACATGCATAGGCAAGCAAAAGGTGTATAGCCTCGAGTCAGGAAACCGAAGCATAAGTTTCCTCATAATCGATGCCTTCCTCTTGGTTATACCCTTGAGTAACAAGACGAGCCTTGTTGCGATTTATTATTCCTTTTTCGTCTAATTTGTTCCTAAACACCCATTTAGTACCAATTACTTGATGGTCTCACGGAGGAGGGACAAGGTCCCAAACCTCATTTCTCTTAAACTGATTTAGTTCCTCTTGCATAGCTAAAAACCAATGTTCATAGAGTAAGGCGTATTTGGAGTTTTTAGGCTCAATTTGAGAGACGAAAGCAAAATGATAACAAAAGTTACTTATCTTATATCGTGTGGTAACTCCCTTTGAAATATCTCCTAGAATATTGTTGATGAGATGATCCTTAGAGATTTTCCATTCCAAAGGAAGATCACTTTTATTACTTGGATGATCTTCCTCTATTTCTTAGGCTACTTGATCCAGCTTCTCCTCAATTATTATAGATTTAGAGTCACTTTATTTAGGATCTTTTAGTATGCTTTCCGAAGATACACCTGCACCATAAAAAAACAACACCTTTTCCGACCGATTTCAGATAAGATTCATCAAAGGAAATATGCACATATTCTTCAACGATATGTAACCTTTTATTGTATAATCTATATTCTTGGCTTGATTGATAGTATCCGAGAAAGATACCTTCATCGACTTTTGAGTCAAACTTTCCAAGGTTCTCTTTACCATTATTTAGTACAAAGCACTTACAGCCGAAAACATGAAAATGTGAAATATTTGGCTTCCTACCTTTTAAAAGTTCATAGGGAGTTTTGTTAAGAATATGACGTATTAGAATCCTATTTAAAACATAACGTTCCATATTTATGGCATCGGTCCAAAAATATTTAGGAAGACCATGTTCATTGATCATAGTTCTTCTGAGTTCTTCTAAAACACAGTTTTTA